TCCCCACCCCCCGGGGGGACTTGGCAAGCCTAGCTGGATCAGACCAGGGGTCCATTTAGTCCAGCATCCTGTCTTACACAGTAGCCAACCAGTTCCTCTGGAGGTCCAACAACAGGGCACAGAGGCCAAGGCCTCCCCCTGATAAGAAGATCAGAAGAGCCCTGCTGGATCAGACTAGGGGTCCATCTAGTCCAGCATCCTGTCTTACACAGTGGCCAACCAGTTCCTCTGGAGGTCCAACAACAGGGCACAGAGGCCAAGGCCTCCCCCTGATAAGAAGATCAGAAGAGCCCTGCTGGATCAGACCAGGGGTCCATCCAGTTCTGCATCCTGTCTCACACAATGGCCAGCCAGTTCCTCTGGAGCTCCAACAACAGGGCAGGGAGGCTGATGTTCCCCTGATGTTGCCTCCTGGCACTTAGGGAGGGGCTGTGGCTCAGTTGTAGAGCAGTGCTTGTCATACTGAAGGTCTCAGGTTGAATCCCCAGCATCTCCAGTAAAGGACCAGGCAGTAGGTGACGTGAAAGACCTCCGCCTGAGACCCTGGAGTAGACAGTACTGAGTCTGATGGACCAACGATCTGGTTCAGTATAAGCTTCATGTGTTCATGTACGTAGCCTGAGGATTACTGCCTCCGAATGTGGCGGCGCACACCCCGTCGGTGCCACTTAGACGCTTTGTTTGCCTAATTATCTCAACGTTTATCGTCTACCACTGACTCCACTTGGAGGCTAATAAAAATATACACCCTTAATTACAGTCAGGGCCGGTTCCCTGGCCAGGCCACCTGGTGACTGCTCGGGCTGGTGCTAATCTGGGTGCTCAGCTCATCGATGGAGGGCAGGAGGGAAGGCTACAAAACGCCACCCTCTGCGTATCGGTGGCGGGATCGGAAACCCCGCCCTCCGCCTATTTTTGCAGCAGCAGCAGCAGCCCGGGTGGGAATGGAGGGGTGTACCTCGCTGGGGGAGATCCAATACCTCGGTCTAGCTCTGAGGACGGCGTGAATTTAAACGACAAAGCGAAATGCACAACCGAGTTCGGGATCGGCCAAGGCGCTGAGCTGAGCGACTCACGTTTTGCATCTTGGTGTCTGCCTCCACGATGTTCCTCTCCACCTGGTCGGCATTCTTCTGCAACTTCTCGATCAGCTCCGACAATTCCTTGCTGGAAATGCTGCGAGGAGATGGGGAGAGAGAGAGAGGGAAGATTTCAAGAAGGGAAGAGAACACTGGGATCGGTTGTAGAGACTTGGCCATGGAACCTCTTCTGGTGCAAAAGGGCCGGAAATTGCAAGAAAGAGGTCCTCTGAGCACATGCAGAGTGTCTGCAACCACTCCACTGAGTAATTACAGCCAGCTCAACGGTATTGGGGGACGAAAAAGGGACCTTCCCGGTAGCCTCGACCTGTCATAAAACAAACTCTTTTTTGAAAAATTACTATCTTCTCTTATGGGAAAAGGCAATCATACTAGGAAAGGTTGGAGACAGCAGGAAAAGAGGAAAACCTCTTTTCCTGTTTGCACGACCGGAGCCAGGCTGTTAATCATAGGATGTTTAGGATAGAGCAGGGGTGTCGAACTCATTGGTTAGTAGGGCCAGATGCGACATAAATGGGATTTTGTCGGGCTGGGCTGTGTGTGTCATAAAATGTAATGCCAGGCACCAGAGAGAGGGTCGTAAGTTGGAAATAACTTGATAGCAAATCACACATCTCCACCACGTGGTGGTGGTGGTGGTGACCTCACATGGGGCTTCGGGCCAGGTTGGAGGTATTCCGTATCTGTGGCCGATGAACAACATGTGCTGTCTCCATTTTGCAGACAGAGACCTGAGGCTGAAAGTTTGTGGCCCGCTGTACGCGGCCCACATCCCTTCACATGGAGACTAAAGCCCAGAAGGCTGAAGTACGGTTAGTGTTGACCATTGATAATGGACGTAACTAGAGTTCCCTCTAAGCTGTCCGTGTGAGCGGCCGTTCATTAACACAGGAAGCCCTGCTCAGAAGCAATCTGGGGCCACACGGGGTCTTGCGCTGCCCATTGCCCATTTGAAGAGTACAGCAGTTCTCTTCTGCTCAGGATGTGACAGGCTGTTAACCATAGGATGTTTAGGATAGAGCAAGGGTGTCAAACTCATTGGTTAGTAGGGCCAGATGCGACATAAATGGGATTTTGTCGGGCTGGGCTGTGTGTGTCATAAAATGTAATGCCAGGCACCAGAGAGAGGGTCGTAAGTTGGAAATAACTTGATAGCAAATCACACATCTCCACCACGTGGTGGTGGTGGTGACCTCACATGGGGTTTCGGGCCAGGTTGGAGGTATTCCGTATCTGTGGCCGATGAACAACATGTGCTGTCTCCATTTTGCAGACAGAGACCTGAGGCTGAAAGTTTGTGGCCCGCTGTACGCGGCCCACATCCCTTCACATGGAGACTAAAGCCCAGAAGGCTGAAGTACGGTTAGTGTTGACCATTGATAATGGACGTAACTAGAGTTCCCTCTAAGCTGTCCGTGTGAGCGGCCGTTCATTAACACAGGAAACCCTGCTCAGAAGCAATCTGGGGCCACACGGGGTCTTGCGCTGCCCATTGCCCGTTTGAAGAGTACAGCAGTTCTCTTCTGCTCAGGATGTGAACTGCTCTGCTCAGTAGGGGGGGAAATTAGAGGGAACATTGGACGTAACCTTGGTTAAGATACCAAACACACAATAAAACCATGATATAGCTTGTTAAGTCTGAGGGAGAATATGCTGTAATGGCTAAACTAACAAACTATATAAATAGAAGACCGATCAAAGAATTTGAGACGATATGGGAGACTTATCACGCTCACTCTATAGATAAAGATAGAAAACAAAGGTCATAAATTACTTATACTGATTTTGATCTTCACAAAGTTAAGTAGAAGAAGAAGAGACTGGATTTATTCCCCACCCTTCACTTGGGAGTCTCAGAGCGGCTTACAATCTCCTTTCCCTTCCCCTCCCCACAACAGACACCTTGTGAGGTAGGTGGGGCTGAGAGAGCTTTGAAAGAACTGCTCGTGAGAGAACAGCTCTGACAGAACTATAGCTTGCCCGAGGTCATCCAGCAGCTGCAATTGGAGGAGTGGGGGAATCAGACCTGGTTCTCCCATATTAGAGTCCACAAACTTAACCACTACACCAAACTGGTTAAAATGGTATTTTATGGACTCTGACTTAGTTTCTGCTAGAGATATATATATGCCATCTGGTTAATATAATTAGTATAATTAGTATAACTAGTATTTCAGGATATAGCATCTCTATGTGTGATCAGTTTTGATATATATTTAGTATATCATTTATATTTTAATTACAGTATGTAGGATATGTTAATGTTTTAAAACCATTTAAGAATTAATACATTGTCACGCTAAGTTTCATTTGATATTTAAAATCTGAAGATTAAATAATTTTCTGATTTTAAGTTGACTACTTTACACAGTCCATTAAATATTTGCTTATGAAGTTGTGGTTATCACAGCCCTATTAAGACTGACAGAGGAAATATCGATCAAAAGGTATAAACATGTTTTGTACTTGAAATATATCTGTTCATGAATATTTCTGATCGCCCTTGTTATATGTATTTTAAATCCTTTTCTTTACACTTTACCCCTTCTCTTTTTTTCTTTCTGTACCCCTTTCCTTTAAAAATAAATACATATATTTTTAAGAAGATAAGTCTGAGGGGTTGGTATAGAGAGAGATTGTGTCAGCGAGACCTTCTTTGAGAGACTGGAGATGGGGCAGGCTGCATTAGCTGTGACTCACTCACAACGAATACATTTATGATTTAACCATGGCTTGTCACAATTGTGATTTCAAATCCACTCCCAGCCCTGGTTTCACAAGCTGGTCGGACGCCTCTCCTGAAGCTGCCATCTAGGCAGAGGTCATTTCGGGGGGGGGGGATCGCGGGGGATCGCAGTTCC